TGGGGCCGCTCGTCTAGGCCTCGAGCCGAAGACGTTGCGGCCACCGGTAGTGGGACCGCTTGGTCCCACAACCGGATGATGGGTGCCGATTGCGGGACTGTGGTCGCAGGCCCGCATTCGGCGGAGGGGTAGGCCGCGGCGGGAGAGGAGTGCCGGTATTTCGGTGCGCCGTTCTCCCTACCTTCCGCGGCCTAGACGGGGCCGCCACCGTTTGATGGCGGACGCGGTGGGGCTGCAGGGGAAGAGGAGTGTCGGTGTTTCGTTGCCGCTCTCCCTGTCCTCTGCAGCCGATTGGAGGTGGCCCACTTCGGTGGGCGGTGTTTGTGTGGTGTGGGGCTGCTCCGGGTACTTCTCTGATCAGCAGAGTGGACTTAGGAGCGGCCTCACTTTATGGGTTGTAAGTCTTCCCATAATGGGGTTGTCCCGCTTGGGGCGGCCTCATGGTTGGTGGCTTCGGCCAACCGTCGGGGCGTCGCGGTTGTATGCGAGAGCGATCCCGTGGCGCCCCACATGGCGGCAGAGGGGGAAAGTTGGGTTTTAGTGGGTATGCCGGTCTCATTAGCCGGAGAGTCTCCACATAACCACCCCGGGGGAAGTCGGGTGGTATCCGTAATAGGATTTCCCAACTATAAAAAAAAAAAAAAAAGGTATAATAGGTGTGCTCCCCCCCAACGTGCGTTCACCTTGTCGTGGTGGGGGGGACTCAGTAGCGCCCGGCAATCCAACCGGGCGCGAAGCTAAGAAACGCACAGGGAGGTTGCCCACTTCGGTGGGCGGTGGGAGGTGGCCCTCTTCGGGGGGCGGTGTACCTTGCGGGTTGCTCCTGGTACTTCTCTGATAGCAGAGTGGACCTCGGAGCAACCCCATGGTTGTGGTGGTCTGCTTTGGCAGACCTGCCGTCGGGGCGTCGTAGTTGAATGCGTAAGCGATCCTGCGACGCCCCATTAAGACGGGGGAAGGTTTTGTTGGGTTTTAGTGGGTAGTACTGGCTGTATTACGCCGGTGAGTCCCACACGTCGTGCGTAAATGCATTTCCCAACGTTAAAAAAAAAAAGGTATAATAGGTGTCCCCCCCCCCCCCAACGTGCGTTCACCTTGTCGTGGTGGGGGGGCTCAGTAGTGTCCGGCAATACAGCCGGGCGCTAAGCCAAGAAACGCACAGGGAGGTGGCCCACTTCGGTGGGCGGTGGGAGGTGGCCCTCCACGAAGGGCGGTGTACCATGCGGGTTGCTCCTGGTACTTCTCTGATAGCAGAGTGGACCTTAGAGCAACCCCGTTGTTATTGTGGTCTGCTTCGGCAGACCTGCCGTCGGGGCGTCGTAGTTGAATGCGTAAGCGATCCCGCGACGCCCCATTAAGACGGGGGAAGGTTTTGTTGGGTTTTAGTGGGTAGTACTGGCTTTACCGGTGAGTCCCACACCTTGCGCGTAAATTCATTTCCCAACGTTAAAAAAAAAAGGTATAAAAGGTTTTCTTTTTGAATCAGCTTTTCTACTTCCAACTTCACACTTAAAATGAAGGGCATAAAAAGTTATTAATAAACATGCAACAAGAAATAAGACAGCAGAAAACAGAAATGTTAGAAATGAAAGAAGACATTAAAAATACAATCAACAATAATATACTTAAATGAGAAATTGAAACACTTAGAAATAAAAAATGAAGTTCTTGAGAAAAAAATCCAGGAACAAAGTACCTCAATAAATAATTTAGAAAGACATATTAGGCGCAAGAACTTGGTTATGTTCGGAGTAGAAGAAGGTGAAAAATCCTATCATGAACTAGAGGAAAAGATAATAAAAATAATAAATAAAAATTTCAACGTTCAGTACGACAACAATAATATTGAAGCTGTTAGAAGAATAGACCAATCATAATATCATTTAGTACAACAGGCCTGAAACTAAAAATTCAGAAAAATGGCAATTGTTTATGTGGCACTCAATATTTACATTAAAGAGGACTACCCCATAGAAGCCTTAAACAAACGCAAGGAGTTACAAGTCCAACTGAAGATAGAAAAAGACCTAGGCAAAACAGCTTTCATTAAATATGAGAAACTAATTGTTGTGGATAAATAATAAGAACACTTCTCGCCAATACTCAAATGAAAGAAGTCTGCCTGTATCCAGAAACGCCTTACCTCAATAATAAACAAAAACTAACAAATAAACAAAATACAAAGAAATCCAAACCTCCTTATATTAAAGACTTTATATTACAAAAACCAAAATTAACTTTCAACCACACAAATGATTACCAGAAACAAGTAAAAACAACACAGCAAGATACAGTATAGTAAACGCAGTAGGAACCTCCTCATCTTTATCTTCAAAGAAAAACAGACATACAATGAACAAAGGTATACATATCTTCACCAGAAAAACTTCTAGAATTAAAAGCAGCATTTCCTACAACAAATCAAAAGAACAGAAAGATAAAATTATAAACTTTATAGGCATATCAGAAACAAATTATATATTACAAGCATAATCTCCTACGGAGAGCTCTATGCAGGACTACTTTGGAGGAGGCTTTTACCCGAGAGGGGTCTATACATGAAACCTACTAGAAAATTCACAAAAGACATTTACTAAATAAATACATTTAATTATGAAATTAAATACGTAACTTATAACTGTTTTCAGAATTAATGTATGAAAAGAAATTTTATTTACATAATTTTATTATTGTGTAATGTTTACTATTTACTTAATTGAATTATTTATTATTTATAATTTTATTATTGTGATTGTTTATTTATTTATTTGTTAATGATAATTTATATATATTAATCAATTAAGTAATTGCTCATGAGCTAACAACAAGTTGAATGTAACTAAATAGGTTATCACAACATACAATATCATTTCAAATAATATTAAAGATTTTTAAAATAATTTAATTCCAGATTACAAAATTATTAGTTAAAAAATGATAAGTTAATAAATAGTCACTAGCCAAAAATTGAAGTTATATTAAATCTAATCAAATAAGTTATAAATATGATCTGGTAAAATACAATGTTAAAAATTGTTAATTAAGAGTAATTATAATTTAAAATTATAAGTAAGCATGTATACAATAAATAAAGCTTCATTATTATTATTTCTTTTGTATTATTCCACGCAAAATATTATGTTCGATAATTTCGCACGCTCAAATATAAGCATCATGGTCAAGCGACTAAGGTGCAAAATCACCAATCTCAGTTGTCCATGTTCGAATCTCGGTAGCGCACAAAGTTTTATTTTATTTTAATATTTATTCAAGTTTTTAGTTTTTTTTTTAAACAAAAAGACGCAAGATTAACAATCATAGGTGTCCGGGTTCGAATCCTGGTCGGATACAAAGGTATAATTTTTTTTGTTTTTTTTTTTGTATTTATTCATGTTTTAGTTTTTGTAAAAGAAAATTGTACTTTATAACCAAAAACTCCGAGCAAAGCTCGGTGGCCCAGGTACTATTTAATTATGTAACAATTTAATACATTTATGTAACTTCTTTAAATCAATTCAATATTTAATTTTATTAAACGAAGTCTCTATGTTCATAAGTACTCTATGTTCCTATTCTAAGAAATATAAGGCCGAAGAATTTTATACGGAGATATCAGCTTAACAAAGTTATAATGAGCAAGGTTTAATCTCAAAAATAACAATTACTTATAATTAACATGAAAAATACAGGAGGATTAGAGGAACAAGGATTGGCGAAAAGTTTGACTCACCACATGACCGCTACTCCCATATTCGGTTTTCTCTGCTTCCCGCAACACAAAAGAATATTTATTTGGTTCACCGGATCTCTACGACTTTATAAAGAATCTATAAGAAAATCCGCACCGGCTGCGCCACTTTTGGTTTCGGAGAATTTCGAAAACTTTATACTAACTTAAAATTAAATTAATAAAAAAATAAAACTAAATGAGACACATGTAGCCCATTTGAGGCTCCTTTATTGTCTGAATACATACTCGGCCGGCGGAAGCCGGGCTGGCCGACCAGACGCTGAGTTTGCGTCTCTCTTATTCTATGTAAAACTTAATCTAGAGCGGATGGACGAGGTGTAACCATAAGTATCTTGTGTTGAGCTGCAACCTTTTATATTACTGCGTATCTCCCTAAATTTTCTCTTCTGTACTATCTTTCGTGGGTGTTTTAATTTTTGATTACAATTTATTAAGTGACGTAAAAAATACTATTATTTATGTTCACTCGCCACGTCTCTCAACAACCACTAAGTACATAAATAAATAAATAAGGACGTTATTGGGATATTTGTCTTTTATCAAAGTATGTAAGTTTGATATGAATATAATCTGTAACCTTCCTCAATAAAATAAAAATAGGATATAAAATGAAAAAAAAATTTATAGCACTTCGTGACCTAAGCCCGTATTTAAGTAACGCTTTTCAGTGACTTAAATAGACTATTAATATAACGTCGTACTATAATGTGTCTACATATTATGTATATCAAAGTTATATGAAAACAATAAGAATGTCCTTTTGGATATGATTTGACAATTCAAAATATAAATTGAATCTATACAAATTTATCATATTAATCCATACTAATATTATAAATGTGAAAGTGTGTTTGTTGATTCTTTGTCCTTCTTTCACGTCGAAACGGAGAGATGGATTGACGTTATTTTTTTGTATGGAGATAGTTGGAGGGCTGGAGAGTGACATAGGCTACTTTTTACCTCGGGAGATTATCTCATTCCCACGGGTAAACACGTTATAATACAATCCAAAAAATATTTATGATTATAATTAACTTCGCATTAGTGCTCTTCAATAAAATTAAATAAATACGTACTTGTATTTTTGCATTTTTTGAAATCATTCTATAAGAGGATAAAATAATGGATGAAAATTTGTATGAAACTACCTTTTTAGAGATTTTTTTGTAGTTTAAGCGCGAGCGAAGCTGCGGGTTCTGCATTATTATATATTATATTGTGTACATTTAATAATCTTACAAAATACTTACGATTTAATAGTCAAGGCTGGTAAACTATTTTCGTCTAAGAATATGTGATAAGTATTATACAAATAAGACCTAAATATTTCTAACTTAGCAGGCTCAATATCCAAATCTGCTATAAAAGTACTTTCTGGTATATCATCGGGAATATTTATGCCTGAAAAGATACAGTAACATAATTATAAAAATCAACTAATTCAAATAACGTCTGAAAAGTATAATAAATGTTTTGGTATAAAACGTTATTAAAGGATCTAACCTGTTTTTGAACCTAATTCATGTACCAAGGACACAGCTTGAGATTTTTTTAAGGAATGTATGAGTATAGCACGTTCTTTCAGGCAAATTGCTTTTTCAATGGCATCAATGGCATTTACTGCTGAAATAGCTTCATCAAATTCATTTTCATTCTTCTGAAAAAAATCAATGATTTTATAATAGCACTACACTTTATGATGACATTTTAATTAAAGTGTAGCTATTATATAGAAAAGGCATAGTTATAGTGTATTTACCTTATGTACCATTTTCAAAGCAGGCAGCTTAATCCAGGTTAATAATTGATTGTCAACAACTTGAGATAAAACTGTTCTTTCAAAATCGTCTTTTCCGTCGTTAATAATAGCAAAATATCTATAATAAAATTATTTAAGTAATTAAATTCAATGTTGTGTGTAATATCTAATTTCGTTAAAATATAATATTAAATACAATACTTACTTTAAATCTGAGCATAATTTTTGCGATAATAGTTTGATCTGCTTCAACATTTCGTAACTATTCTCACTTATTGCATTTGCAGAAACTATGTAATATATTCCTTCAATGCCTGCGAACGACTGATCCTCAGCAGATAAATTAATAATGCTATTTGAACTAAACGTATTTTCAAGGATCACTTTTACTTGTACTCCTTGTTTAACCCAAGTTCTAGAAAATTACAATATTGATAAATTATATAATTTTTTGAAGTTACCCTTCTTGTGGCACGTTTGGAAAAAAATATGAGAGTAAAATGTAAACGATGCGCGCGCACACCGACAGCCAAAAAGCGACATGATAAAGTTAGTTGCATTCCTTTTACCAACTTTTGTTCTGTTACACCAAAGAAGTACAACTTCTTACATATGTACATAAGTACACACATACGTTGTCTTGTAAATAATTATGTCAGTTACCGTAATTTTTGGGACAGACAATATGATGATCCAGTCGAAGAAACTAATATTATCTTTCTAGCCCCACGGTTCACTAGTCTGTCGACTAATTTTAATGCCAGCAATTCGTTCTCTGATATTACCAACTGTCGTAGTTGAGTAGAACAAGTTATTCTAAAAAAAAGTAAATGTTTAGTTTTATCGCTTTTACATTTTAAGTAATATGACTGATGAATAAAAATAATTTTACTTTATCTGAACATGAGATATATCCTTTTTTAAGTCGAGTAGTACACGTCCACGATGACGGCTTCCAGCTTGAAGACTGTATGCACGTGTTACATCTTGTGGGGAATACGTCACACGAGACAGTGGCCGGACGTATCCACGGGCAATACCCTCGGTGAGCATTAATTGCAACTTCTATAAAATTAATTTGACGTATTAAGTGACAGTGTTCGATTCCTGCTTTTTGCTAAATTCACAGTTTTATAGAAATAAAATAGATGAAACTGTATACTTCAGAAATGAAAATCATTGTAAATGAGATTTACAAAGTCGATATAAAGATTAAGTTTTTAAATTTATAGTCATGTACATATGTATATTGTCCTGACTGATCAACGCAAAGCCTACACCAGCGGGGTTAAAAACTTGAAATTGTGGTAGTTGATGTATTTTATGATTTAAGCGTCCGCTTAGGAAGAATTTTTCGAAATTTCACCCCTAAACGGGTAAAAAAAGCATTAACGGTTGTATGGAAATCCGTCATTTTCAAAGTTAGAAGCATGAAATTTCATATACAAACTTTAAGTGAGAAATAAATAAATATGTATTTCAGCGTTTTTGAAAATCTGTACCCTAAGAGGATGAAATAGGCGTTGAAATTTTATATTGGTAGTCCGTCATTTTGGAGTAAGAAGAATGAAATTTAATATTAAAGCTTCTTAGCAAAACTAAATACATACATATTTAATAATTTTTGGAAATTCAACCCCAAAGGGGGAAATACGGTGGAAACATTAGTATAAAAATGAAAAAAAAAAGTAGTCTGTTCTGATATTTGTCTTTCTTGATTGAACTGATAAACGAACTACAAACATGTATTTCAAAGTTTTTCAAAATTCCACCCATCAGACGAGAAAAGGAGTGGCAATTTATTTATTTTTCTTTTGAAGGGTTAGCACGTTTTTATGGACATATTCACTAAAAATCTTCATATATATTATTATATATACTAATGTCTTGTAGGTGCAAATAATGACATACAAAACTACGTTTAAAAAAAACCGACTTCAAGAACTAAAAAGTATAAAATAACTTAATAAAGATTTACATTAATACACCTCTTATGCAAACCTTAGTACCTTTAATATTAATAAAATACTATTATTTGTATGTGCTACCTAGTGATAAGTTGGAAGTCGGTGATAAGCCAAATGTAGGTACCTACACTCGCCGCGATCTAAGAAATCTATACAAAAGGCACCGACTTCAAACCTATCAATATTATTCAAATTTTAAATTTTCAGTTTTAGGTTTGCATAAGAGGTGTATTAAATTACATTTTTAATAAGTTATTTTATACTTTTTAGTTTTTGAAGTCGGTTTTTTAAACGTAATATTTTTTTAATGTTTACTTTTTAGTGTCTGTAATAGGTCGTTCTGTAAACTACAGTAGGTAAAAGTAACGATTAGTTATAATATTTCTCAATTTCTCTACTCCGCACGCTCGCTCGGCTTCAATGACAGGTAGCCTAATATCCACTTACCGGAACAAGGGTCAATAATAATACATAAAGGTTAAAAATAATCAACCTAAATGAAAACCCCTAAAAACGCCGTACACAAACTGAAATAAAATGGCACCGTCCACAAAAACAAAATTTTCATTAACAAATGTTCATAACATGAAAACTACTGGGCCAAACTATTTTAAACTTTTATGGGACCAAATGGGAACTATTCCGCATCAAACTAAAGAAGAATTACGTAAATCGGATCATAAATCTCAGCGTAATCGGTGTAGATACATAAGAAAATACCAATCTAATTGAGAACCTCTTCCTTTTTGAAGTCGGTTTAAAATACAAAAAAAAGAACTTAAATAATAAATAAAAATCGACTTCGACCACTAAAAATATAATTTATAACAAATGAATAAAAACACGATTGCGTAAAAAGTGAACTAAAACGATGGGAACAAGTTGATAAAGCAACATAGTGCTATACATACATACATACATGCATACATACGTACGTACGTACATACATACATACATACATACATACATACATACATACATACATACATACATACATACACACACACACATACGCACAAACATACACACAAACACACACACACACAAAAATAACGATGATGTTAGCCTGTTTATACGAGTATGTTAGTAAAAAGCCCATATTAGCCGAGTTACATGATTCTAAAGTCGTAAACATTCTATGCGAGTTGTATCATTGTACTGTCTACCACTAACTTTGAAAGGATGAAGCAGAAAATGTGCAAAAAAAGAAGTCGTCGAGCTTGCACCAATACTTTAAACAAAAATTAATTTACTGAATATACGTAAAATATCTTTTCAGATACAGGATATTTTGAGTCACGATCGCTACAAATTTTGTTTTCCTTAATATCTCTAATAAATAAAGATATTATAAAAATAAAAAAACCCAACTGTATAAAAGCTAATAAAAAGATGAAAACAAGTTCAGGATGGAATATAGTATCATGCAGTCGGAGACATACGTTTCATCCTTGCCGCAAGATGTACATAGTACATACATACTCGTATTTTCGTATTTCATATCGCCCTCTCGGGTGTGTTCTTTGTAAAGTTTAGTATCCACTAAGAAAGGGCTTTTTGAAAGTTCAACCCCAAGAGGGTGAAATGGGGGATTGAATTTACTGTGAAACTTATTATTCTCTAGGTCCATTAACTCGAAAATTGCTACACATACTCTTCAATTAAAATTATGAGTTTTTTTTTGTTTTCGCTGGGGAAACCCATCATGGGGACACTACCGGCCGTCATAACGGGCAAGGTACTGTGAGACTCCTACTCACTAAAACCCACAGCGGAACCCGTCGCCGCAGTGCAATGGGGCGTTGCAGGATCGCTTGCGCACACACTACAACACCCCTGCGGAAAATTATGAGATACGTGTATCACAGTTTTTCTAAAATCATCCCCAGAGTAAAATGGAGCTTCGAAAATCCAACACGGCATGGTAGACGGGCGTATGGCGCGAGGGAGGCGCAGGGCGTGCTAGCGGGAGTGTTTCTGGATTGATTACTTATAACATAAAGCCAAATAAATTTGCTTTTCTGTAGTTTTAACGCAAGCGAAGCCGCGGGTTCTGCTAGTTTTAACTATTACCGGGACAATAGTCGTAGTTCCAACATATTATATTTTATTTATTTGTACCTTTATATCCTCTTCTCCTTCATGTCCCAACATTGACAATAAGTTTATGGTGAAGTAAGACAATCCGTTTCCCAAATATTTCGTGCCAAAGTCATAATTTTCCTTAGTCAATAATAAGTTTGTATCAATTACAGTACTTGTCGGTTTGCAACACTGAATTGTAGTCTGAAATTATTTTGATAAATGAATCGAATCAATGTGTATAGTAATTTATTCGGATTTATTAAAAATTAATATTATATTAGTATAAAAAAAAATATATGAATAAAGGTTATTTTTTAAATTAATAGAAGCGTATTCAGTAACGTCTTACTAAAACTTTTAAAGACATATAAGGTAAAGTTATTTAGACTAGTGATCGCCACGTGGTTGAAAATCAACCATAATTCCTTAGGTTTGATCGATATCGAGGTTCTATCCTCAATTTGACCACAGACTTTAACAATAAACGAAAGAGTTCGTAATATTCGTGTGTTCGTCAAATACATGGTAGTGTGTGTAATGTTTTTTTATTGATTTAATATATTTTATGCATAATTTTAAAACCATATTAGCATTCTGCACTCCTTCTCTATATAAACTCTAAGTGTGGGAAATTTCATACCCCTCCGTCCGCGCAATTTTCGTAAAAAGGGGTACAAAGTTTTTGTTTCACATATTAATATATAGATATACTCTAGTAAATAGTAATGAATATCTTCTATATATAAATAGGCAAAGACAAAACAGTACAGTGCCTTTTTTCCATCGGTTTGCAAACGATGTTCTTTTTTGTTTACTATCTATTGACTAGCTTTAGTTATCAATAAAAAAATTATCAATAAAAAGAAAACAGTTGTTGTGTGTATATATATATATATATATATATATATATATATATATATATATATATATATATATATTCGATTCATATAAGTTTTCCTCAAATTTTCATTAGTATTTATGTTCGAAATTCGGCCATTTAGTAGAATCTAGTATATTTAATAAGTTTTTGTACAAAAAAGCTAACTTGTCGCCACTGCTTTTACAAATATTAAAACTTTCTGTCACTTTGCTCACTTAATTAAACACGATTTTTTGCAAAATAACTATAAATAAAAACATTAAGTGTTATGGTAAATTGTATGGAATTATTATGGTAAATATGTATAATATTATACCTGTATAGCAAGCATCGTCAACACTCATTCAATAGTTATGATAAACAGATATCCAAACATCTTTATCAAAACTTTCTTTAAATTACAATACTACTAGTGCTCTTATACATTTCACATATACTTACATTTTTAAGGGCTCCTTTAACACAGCTTATGATTAAATTACAACCCTCACCCTTTGTAGCGTGTAGCACTATATCTCCGAAACTTATATCACGTGAATTTCCAATGTGACTTTCTGAAATATGAATATTATTGATTGTATTTAGAGAATTCTCCTAGTTTCATAAAATTATATTAAAGAGCATCATTGGCCAATCAATCATACCTTTAAGCTCTGGGAAGAGTTTTTGCAGGAATCTCTTTTTGGTGATATCGCTAACAGTAGTAAAAATGTTGCAGCCATATGCCAAAGCAATCGATATAACTGCCTGGCCAAGAGCACCAGCGCCTCCATGTACCAAAATTGTTATTCCAGGCTTGAACTTTGCCTTAAAACACTACGCGCAAATATAAAATTAAAAGATAAAATTCACAGAAAATTGGTATTATATGGGATATATATATATTTAATGAAATTTGGTACCAAGCAATAAAGAGCGAGACAGTAGGCCAATGGAACTGTAGCTGCATCTTCCATAGTCCAGTGTGCCGGCACAGGCCACAGATATTCCGGTTTCACGCTTACATGTGTTCTTATAGATTCATAATTCGCAATTCCCATTACACGAGCTCCGCTATTGAAAAGATAAAGAGCTAGTAAATAGTACCTGCCAGTCAAATACAACTAGGTTTATCGTTCATAAAAAAATATTTACCTATCAGTAGTTCCACTAAAATCGAAAAGTTGCATGTCTTCTTTATCGCATGAAATAACTCCCATTTTGTTCTGTACTTCAACAATATTTACTCCAGCAAAATGAACCTGAAATATATTGATCAATGTTTACATTGCGATAAGATAAATATTTTTTTGTGTAATAAAATGTATTAGATTTTACCTTTACATTTATGCCCGTGCCTCTAGGCTCCCGTAATTCTGTCCAATGCAAGGAGTCTAGGTCACCTAACTGTCTAATATTAAGCTCTAATCCAAGTCCTTCTTTTCTTGAAATTTCTTTTGCAGGTAAGTAGTATTCTCCGCCCCACGTGCCCTTAAATAGTTTATTTGAGAATTGTTAATTGCATTGCATTTCTATCATAACAAGAAATACGACAAGAAGTATTTATTCATAATTTCTATGAGTTTTACTTGCTTGTCTGAAATGTCATAAACAAATAAAAATAATCGACTACTAATGCTACAGTCTGAAGTAGCCAAAGTTACTCCTTATAGCATCAGTTATCTGCGAGTGAAAGCTCAGTCGTTCAGATATTAGCCGGAGCAAACAGACAAACAAAATTTTGAAAAATTGTGTTTTTCTTATAAGTACCGTATATAATTTCATAAACGTTTAGTAAAAAGTTTATTTCGATAGTACAAACAGACACTTCAATTTTATTAATCTGTATAGATAATATATTATGTTGTAGGATATATTTAACGAATAAAGAAACTTACTTTATGCAAAATATTAACGGCTAAGTCAGTAAGTGGTATTTTATCCAGATTCGGGGTACTGGAAAACTCATTGATCATGATTAGATTAATTTTGCGGTTATCCTCTGTTCTCCATTTCTTTACTGCTGTTTTTAAAGAAGCTAATGGAGGATACGAGGTTAATATCACAAGTTTTTGATTTAATTGTATTGCTGTTATTCTTGAAGTAAGTAGAGCAAAATCAGATTCGGTGTAAACTGTTACAGCACTAGTGCCAACATTTGATTCAGTGGGACGCCACAACACTAGTTCTATAACTGTTGACCCTATTGTATGTGCACAAATACTTTGGTACAGGGATGATGGTCGATCCCTCGAAATTTCTGCTTTATACTTCTCATAGTTAACCACAAAAGTATTGCATCTAAGAATTCGGTGTAGCATTTGACATAACTGTGGAATTGTGCAAAAACAATAATTAATAGACATTAAAATGAAAATATTAAGTATAATAAATATAGCCATAGACATGGACAGCCTCAAAAAAATGGCCACTCTGTAAAATATGAAAATTTAACAAAGTTTTATTTAATACCAACTTCCAAAACGGAGGAGGTTCTCAATTCGTCGGAATCGTTTTTTATGTATGTTCACCGATTACTCAAAGACGCCTGAACCGATTTGGAATTGTTTTTTGTTTCAAAGGGTATACTTCCCAGATAGTCCCATATAAATTTTATCGAAATCAGTCGAGCGGTTTTTAGAAAAATCATCAATAAATATTTTCTTTAAAAGAAATTGTTTAATCGAATATGTTATTAAAAACTTTTTTCTTACATATTAACTGCTTATTACGTCTACACTAAAAATGGAAAAATAAAAACTTATTAACAAAAAATAAAAACCGACTTCCAGGCACTAAAATGTAAAAAATAACTACACGGAGGTTTTCATTTAGAATAGATACCAAATCATCAGATATTTTCGAAGTTGGTGCCAGCCTACAATATTTTAAGATATGAATATCTAATAGGTAAATATGTATCTTACGTATTGAAATATATTAGATTTGCTTTGCATCGGCTGGCACTGACTTCGAAAATATCTGAAAAGGTATATATTCTAAATGAAAACCTTCGTTTAGTTATTTTTTATATTTTAGTGCCTGGAAGTCGGTTTTCATTTTTTGTTAAAAAGTTTTAATGTCATTTGGAACAGCGACAAAGCGACTGTGTGACCAATACGTGTCTGTCTGTTTCTTGTCGGCTTGCAATAATAAAGATGCAGGCAGGGTCTCAAGAGAGATTTTTTTATAATAATTTTGATAGTCTAAATCAATGTGTCGTGCTAAGGGGGTTGTTGATACAAAAATTTAATGCCAACTTACATCATCATTATTTGATAGATTTAACACTAACAGCAAATCGATTTCACCCAATGAAGCAATATTACTTGTTTTAAGGCTATCTCTTGCAATTACTGAATAATTCGCCTGTATTCCAGGAATTTCAGAGAGAATTTGATTAGTATCAGCAAATCCAGAGACACTATTTTCAAAAATTTCTATAATATTTAAATCGTGTTTATTTAAATTTTCAGCACATATTTGTATATAAGTAGAGAGTGCTGATACTTTCTGAAAAATAACATAATATTTATAATTATTATTGAAAATGTACATGTATTCATAAACAAATGTTATTATTATACATACATCGATGGCGCTTGTAGAAAAGTGTGGAATAAATTTTAGGGTTTTTAGTCCAACATTTTTACAGATAGTTGGCAAATCATGAAATCTTATATTTTGCATGATTATACCACCGCATCTAAAACAAATATCGTCATATGAATATTGATAAAATATAAATTATAGGAAAAAGGAATGCAAAATAAAGAATCATACCCATAAATATGTATGTATATCGTATCATACCTCGTATAATCATGAACATCAAATATCCTCGCAGGTGTAACTTTTATCCCATCTATTTCATACATTTCATCGAAATGCTCGTTTACGTCAATTATTATTTTTCTTACAAAATGTGGCTGAGAAACGGTTTCATGAATTCTTCTGAGCGCATTTAATTGGAGCATACTGTCAATCATGGCCACCCAATTGTCTTCCCATTTTATATTAGCTTCAGATAATGACAAACTAGCATTGTAAATACTACGAAATACACCTCTGTAAATTTAAGTTTTTTTTAAAAAGAAGCTGTTGCACAATTTTAAAAAAAATCTTTAATATGTTAGGTTACTTACGAATAATTATAATCCCTTATAGAAAAGAGTTTATAAATATCATCTGATTTAAGTTGCATTTCTTCCTTACAATTTAAATTAACTTTGTCTTGTTTGTCTTTTTTTAGCTCTCCAGTTATATAACCTGTTATGATTGTAGAACTTTCATCTAATACCTAAATTATAAGAAAATTATAGATTATTAATATACTAAGTTATTTAGAAGAACCATAACATATGTAAATCAATTGAACGATATTTAAATCATTAGACAAGCTTACTTCAAAACGGCCATTTCCTCTATGTAAAGCTATATTTAAACGCAAGTTTCGCTGTTTATGAAGAATTGGTTGTGTAAAGAAATGTATATCAGTAAACTGAACTGACAGCTGTTTCTTCTCTACACCTAAAACCATTGCCAATGTGTCCCAAACTCCTACGAGTGCTCCAGAAAATGGATACAAGTTCTTTTCTAAAATTAAAAATAATGTTATTATTTACACAAACAAAAATATTATATATTATTAATAGGTGTTTCAAATTATGATATTTAAAAAAGGGAATAATTTTTTAATATCATCACCTCTTATGACATGTCCTTTAAAATATGCGTGATCATTATCATACGTGGATACCACAAATTTTGTAGCGGCAGCTATTTTGTTATGCGCTGATGTAAACAAAGGTAAAGACCTGTAACATTTATTTTGTTTATTGTATTATGTATTAAACTTTAAAAATATATTCAAAAACGTGCTAAGTATTCCCTGTATGTAAATTAGGTCAGTACTTATGAAAGTTTAAAGATATTATCAGTACAGTATACATAATAATATTATATCTATCTAATTTATGTTACCGGCCAAACCCGATTTGAGGCCCAACTAGTTTGTCCTAAGCAAAAGCGACTCATCCTAAGTGTGTCAGAATATACTAGTTTAGACTGGGACAATTTTGTTTGCCCTAAATAATTTGGGCTTAACTATTTTGGCCTAGGCCGAAATGATTGAATCGTTGCAAGTAACAAAATAAACACGTTGGAAGCCTAAGTACGACAAAAAGCTCATTTGTAATTTTAGTTTGACTCTAAAAATTACTTTTATTATTTCATTATAACGCTTGTGATATTTAGGGTTCTGGGTTTGAAATAAAAAAAAAGACCTAAGGAGAAGGCTAAAGCGGAAACTACGCTACGCTTCACTAGCCTTCTCAACCTACGTCATCCAAATCGGGTCTGTCACATAATAATACCACCCACTCCTCCAGAGGCCGCGTCCAATATAGTATGTAAACTGTAACCGAATCACTAGTTTGCCCTGAAACCGGGTTTGAACGGTAACATATACATATATGAAAAAAATAACTATATAAATTGTCATAATATTAAAATAAAAACTAAGTTAAACATAGTTCGATTTTGAAATTCATATTAGAACTACTACTAGCAGTTATCATAAATTATTAGTCTGGTTCACAAAACATTTATTATAATAAATAAAATAAAATATTTACCATTTTTCATTATGAGCCCATTCCACTAAATGTGACAACATTGGTGTTCCAGTCGAAACAGGATACTCGATTTTAGGATACAAAGCTTCCACTTTAGGATTAAGTCCTTCCATATAAAGTCTGCGAAATATATATTAATTAAATAATAATACTGACATATTATCGACATCAAATATTTACATTCTATTAAAAATTAAATTAATGTAACTAACTTTCCTATAGCTTCTAGCAAGAATAGTGCGTTGTCCACGTGTCCACGCCTAGTGAGTGGTATGTGCCGACATGAATCAGGTAGCGACCGCTTTACGATGGCTTGTAGTAAGCCATGTGGAGCGATCTCGATCACCACTGCATTAGCTGGGATTAACTGGGACGTCTCCTCAAAGAGCACCGAATTCTGCCATTAATATTTTTATATGTTAATAATATAAAACTTTTTCTAATGCTTAATTGCTGTTGTAGCTTATAACTTTATGTTAGGCTTTTTTTAATTTATCATCTGATGATGATGATGATGTTCTTCTAGCCGATTCCGGCTACGGCGGCCAATCTCATTGAGACTAGCCAACTACGCAGGAGATATTATAGTACACTCTCTATTCCTGTCAATCTTATACTCCGGTGGGACGGCTGCTCGACACGACCAGTGAGAGTTAAGGTGCAGGACCGATGGCTTTATGTGCTCTCCGAGGCACGGGGGTGAAACACCGCCAACTTCCCAACTCCGGGCTGTTACTGAGACTTACTATACAGAAAGACTCAATAACTAAACTTGGCCCGACCCGGGACTCGACCCCAGGACCTTCGAGTGTGCAGCCGTAGATGCTAGCCGCTACACCACCGAGGCAGTTACTATCTATACACGATATCTATACATATAATAAAACTGTAAAGTTCGAATGCCTGTTCGTGTACATAGAAAAAATGCTAAAAACCGAGTCAGGGGATGTGAGAAGAGAAATAGAACAAATCCAGATTTTTTCAATTTTTTGTTTCTCTGTTTGTCTGCTTGTACGGGCTACTCTCCGAAACTGTAGGACCGATTTGAATGAAATTTTGCATGGTGGTACCTTATATCCCCAGTCTACATTTTAGATAATTAGAAAATAAAAAAATACCCGTTAGATAGTTAAAAAACTATAGTAACTTATACAGCTTAGTGCACAACAACTTATGCACCTAATGTAGTAAAATTTGGTATGCCGATACCTTATATTGCCGGTCAAACAACATATTACATTTTATCCCGGAAAATGAACGGTTACTGTGGGATAGATCTATTTGTGCTTTTGTAGAGGTGAACCCGAGGTAAGCGAGGGTGAGCTGCTAGTTTTTTCCATAATTCAAATTCTTTTTATTTTATCATAATTGAAAGTGGCTGCAGTTTAGTATTGGGGACTCGGCCCGTGGCGGAGTGAGTGGTATTTCTGGATAGGGGACGTGATAGGGAGTTCAAATATATTAATAAATATTTTAAGGAAACAAAAGAGTCAAAAGTTATTGAGACTTAAAGTTACAACATTTCCATACATTATTTTGACATTACTACCATTTAGACACTTGGAAATGTCAAAACGTCACTTTCAATTGTCAAAATGATCTCCACATGATTATGTCTTTATTTGTACTTTGCGTAAAATTCGAATTTTTTAGTTTTCTAGTAATTTATGGCACTCGCCGGCCGCTACCGCGGCACGCTCGCTTCGCTCGCTCGGCTCATGCGTTGTGGTAACTGTTCTAACCTAACCTAACCAAGATATGACGAATAATAAATAAATAATATTTTTCTATTTATTTATTCATTATATTTTTCTATTTATTTATTAATTAATATTACCAACAGAAATGGCAAAAATAATCAAATATAATCTGTTGTCATTTAAGCGGTAATGTAAAACAAAGTGACAGTTTTGCTTTTGTCAAAATGTAAGATCATTTTGTTTGTGTTGTTGTGAAATTATTAAAATATTAAATACAATAAAGCATTAATTGTTGTGAAAATATGTATTATACATAAAAAATGATGCGCACTATTCGTTAAAGGTATGTTTATCTGTTGTAATCACTTATTTAGGTAAATAAATGTATGGAAATGTGTTAGATATGTTATAAATTTAAGTCTCAATAACTTTTTACTCGTACGTTTCCTCAAAATATTTTTAATATATTTTGACTCTCTGTCACTTCCCCTATCTAAAAATACCACCCACTCCGAATGGTGGTAAAGAAATGTATGAAAATGTATGGAAATGTTGTAACTTTAAGTCTCAATAACTTTTGACTCTTTTGTTTCCTTAAAATATTTATTAATATATTTGGACTCCCTATCACGTCCCCTATCCAGAAATACCACCCACTCCGCCAGGAGCCAGGTCCCCAATTCTACACTTGTGCCTTGAAAGTAAATAATTCCTAATACAGAATATTACTAACCAATAAATTATTTGTATGATACTCAGCTGAAGAATACTTAGCAATTTCTTCTCCCCATCTTTCTTTTGGTACCGAAGTTGATACCCATTTTTCACTACGAGGCTTTGGAGATTTGATGATTTCAGATAAATATTTAAGTAGGCCGGGACCTTCAAAAAAAGCATAAGAAATATTTAACTCATATTTATTTGAAAGTAAATATTTACATATTTGTATGTATGTAAATAAAAAAGTTATTATAATTTACATACTATACCTGCTTCAGCAATATAGCGCGAGTGATATGCAATATTTGAGCATGGCACCTCCTTAGCGAAAACACCTTTGGAAGTTAATTGGGCTACAAATTCTTCCATTACAATCGCTGGTCCTGAGATAGTACTCGAGTTAGGACCGTTATGGCATGCTACTTCTATTTCTGGAGGGCACATTTTAACCATCTGTAACAAAGAAATATTAATATGATTTAAATGTATTAAAAAATACTGAAATATTAAGTTTACAAAACATAGTTTTTAACATTGTTATTTTTACCTGTAGGTATCCAACGCCGACGGCAGCCATTGATCCTTTTATGAATGGTGTTTGCAACGATACTAGACCACGACTATAAGCAGATAAAATCATCTCTTCAGCTGTAAAACAACCATCAGCGTATGCACATCCTAATTCCCCCACACTGTGTCCTGTTAAAAATTTAAAATTATTTAAATTTCAGAATAATCTTCTAACATGTTTTTAGGTACATCATCTCAATTTAAACTGAGTTCTCAAGGTGAAGTAATATCAAAAAAGGAGAAAGTTTGTCTGGAAGTATAATGAAAAAACATTAAATACCTATAATCATATCAGGGAAAATCTCCAATTCTCTTAAAACATCGGTAAGCCCTATTTGAATTGCTGCGATTCCAACAAAGCAGTGTAAGATATTATCAAATATTGTTTTTTCTGTGGAAGTTATGATATGTACTATATCAATTCCTTTAGGTTCAAGAGCTCGACGACAACTGTTACGTATAAATAAATTCAATTATTATTTTTTGTAATTTTAATTTGTTATATAAAAGGTATTATTTTTTTAAGTAATGTTTTATTCACCGTTTGATAGCTGCAGCAAAAACTGGTATGCGCATAAGTTCTGTTCCCATTCCTGCCCATTGAGATCCCATTCCACTGTACATGAACCAAAGTGGTCGCTTGAGATTATCGAAGTAGTCACAATTTTGACATAAACTAACCGTTTTACCATCCTCATTAGTATCTTAAGTATAAAGAGATATATTGGTTAATATAGTATAATTAAGCAATTATTGAAAAAAAAACGCCACTTATTAAATAGAATGTTAATAGAACTTACCAAGGATCGTGTATCCTCTACCTAAGTGTCCGAAAATTCTACTTTTGTGAATATTTCGAAGTAAAGCTAACTCTTCGGAATCAATGGGACGTGTTTTTATATCGTTCATTATTTTTATTACTGATGATTCTTGTCTTCCTGAGAGTGTCACTAATTGTGGAATAGTAGACTTGTAACGAGATAAATCCTTAAACGGAATATTAAATTGTTTAATTACTTTAATAATTCTTTCTTAGATTTACGCGAATACTTGACATTTAAATAAAACTACCTTTTCGGATTTTTTCGCGAATTTATTTTGATTTTTGGTTCCCGACGTTTCGAATGCTTTACAACATTCATGGTCACGGGAGAGACTGAGGTGTTAGATGTCTCTAAGGTATTACATAGTTGTTACAGACAGCCTACCCACAAATAACAAAATGAATTCAAAAATTGAAAAATGGCACCATAGTACCTCACAATATTTTAACTTTTAACTTTAAACATTTTTTTTTATAATTTTAATTAGTTTATAATTGAATATGGAATATTATTTATTTAATTTGAGCTGTTATTATTATAATTATTACAATTTTAAAAATATTAATTAGTAATCTACATTTTTAGTGTTGCCATTATTATATTTATAACCATAAAGAAAATATCATAATATAATAATTATTTAGGCCACATAATTGATCTATGTGTAATTTTTTTTTATCTATTTTTATTTAGGGACTTCTTAGCAACAGAGCTAAATGTCAGTCCCATCGTTCCCTTAAGACATGTATACCACTAATAATACTAGTACCTCTAATTATAACTTATTTTAACTTAAATTGATATACAGTTTTGGCTATCTCTGAGTTAGGCTTAGACAGTGCGCTTTGAAAAACTCCCACATCATTCCAGCAAACGATAAAACGGCGCATCAACTCCTGTCTCCTATCCGCGTTACGAACATATTCCACTAAAAAATGATGCACATCTTCCTCTACAGCGCATAAATTACAATTTGGAGAATTAGATTTTTTCATTAGAACATAAATCTGTTAAGTGGAACGTGTCCCGAACGCAGCCTAAGAGCCATAACAATTTGTTGACGCGTCAACCCTTTTTTTTTTTTAACGTTGGGAAATGCATTTACGCACGAGGTGTGGGACTCACCGGAAAAGTCAGTACTACGCACTAAAACCCAACAAAACCTTCCTCCGTCTTAATGGGGCGTCGCAGGATCGCTTACGCATTCAACTACGACGCCCCGACGGCAGGTCTGCCGAAGCAGACCACAACAACCACGGGGTTGCTCCACAGTCCACTCTACTATCAGAGAAGTACCAGGAGCAACCCGCATGGTACACTGCCCTCCGAAGAGGGCCACCTCCCACCGACGTGGGCCACCTCCCTGTGCGTTTCTTGGCTTCGTGCCCGGTTGGGTTGCCGGGCACTACTGAGCCCCCCCACCACGACAAGGTGAACGCACGTTGGGGGGGTGACGCGTCAACCCTGAGTCGCAGAACCACGGGATACGAGGAGGCTCACTTTGTATAGTCTTATACCATATTCCCTTAAGTTTTGATCTTTTGTCAAAGTACTCTCTAAAGCGGTTTACACATTCTTGTTTATATTTAACTAAAAAATCAGAATAATTTGGTCTTAAATTTATAACTGTCCCTACGAGAGGTGCTTGTTTTGCAAGAATATCAGCCTCCTCGTTTCCCGTTAGTCCAATGTGAGAGGGAATAAATTCCAATTTTAAAGACTTTCCGATAGATTGTATTTTAGTTAATTCATGTAAAATTTTGTAGGCTACAGATACTCCCCTTGTTCCTCTTACGCAACTTATAAGATGCTCCGCAGTCATTATTGATGTATTAGCAGTTATTTTAAACATTTTATTAACATTACAATTTGGATCGTAGTACATTACAAAGAACAACCAACGTTTGTTTTATCTTTAGATCCATCAGTATTCAGATAATACCACCCAAAATAATTATTATGTATTTCCTGTATAATTTCTTGTCTTAATATATTAATATCGTAACTATTTTTAGATCTTTTTATACACTTTAATTTGGAGTTGCATACATTTCTAATATTAATATTTGACATCCATGTATCTAAATTAAACATCTCTGAAGTGCTAGATGAGCTGACATTTTCATTTTTTGTTTCTAGATATGTAACGCTTAATAAAGGCTTCTTTTTATTATTCCAATACCTTTTACCCAAAGATAAACTCAAATCAGATATACATTTTAAAGTTTCATTTTCAGACCAAGACTGACATTTTAAGCAAAATTTCATAGCTAGATATAGCCTTCTTATATAAAGAGGTGGCAAACAGAGATCACTCTCCATCACATGAATAGGAGTAGACCTAATATATCCTCCAATAATACGCATAGCTTGGTTTTGTATTTTATCTAGCTTGCATAAGTGAACATTAGCACTATTGTTATATAATAAAAACTTTTTAACAAAAAAATAAAAACTGACTTCAAACAAAAGCACTAAAAAGTAAAACATAACTGATTGGTAGTTTTCATTTACTATACATACCTAATCAAATATTTTCGAAGTCCAGACCGAACAGACCGAAGATCAATAATATCAACGGAAATAGAAACACTTGCAAATTTAAAGTTAATATGACAATTAGAAGTAGGTTAAATTCATCATTAGCTGTTTTTCCACCCTTAGGGGTGGTATTTTTTTTTGAAATTTAAATGGGACCAATCTGGAAGTATACCCTTTCAAACAACATAAAAATTGTCCAAATCGGTTAATAAATGACGGAGTTCTGAGGTAACAAACATAAAAAAAAAAAACAAAAAACATACAGTCGAATTGAGAACCGCCTCCTTTTTGAAGTCGGTTGAAAACGAGCCATAGTCTATTCTACTTCTTATCATAGATATGTACACTGTACGAAAATGCTGTGGATGTATCCCCCATCCAGGACCGGCTAGTGCCTTAAGCAGTTGTAAAAACCTTTTAGTTTTTGAACATATTTCATTTATGTGTGCTCCCCACCTAAGAGACCTATCCAAATGAAAGCCTAAATATCTAATACATTCGACAGTCTCCAAGTTCAATCCATTAATAGTAATATTTATATTATGTTTACAATATCCTCTACTAAAAACACATATTTTAGATTTAGTATCCGATAGCTGAAAGCCTAATTTATCCAATAAGTTAATTAAAATACATAAAGCATTTTGTAAATTTAAAATAGTATCTTGAATCTTTGGAAGACTAGAATATAAAACAATATCATCAGCATATTGACTTAAAAAGACATTCTGAATGGACCGAGATACGAGTATTTCTATTATAATAACATTAAATAACAAGTGGGTCTCCTTGAGCCAGACCTTTACTTGTCCATCTCTCATAAAAGGAGTTATCCTTATCACATCTTATTCTTAAATGTGTTTCATTTAAGAAATGCCACAAGTACTTGCAAATCAAAGATCCGCCTTCATAGTTATCTAAGGTAATTACAATATTTTCAATAAGAACATTGTTATAAGCTCCTTCTATAACTAAGAAACAACCCACAGCTTGAAGATTATTTGTGAAGCCTAATTGAATATGAGTGATTAGGCGAGTGAAGTTATCCAGACATGATTGTCCCTTTCTAAAGCCTGTTGTTCTTGGCGAAAAAAAATGGTTTCTTTCAACGTGCCATATTTAGTTGCCAAACGTTTATTAATCATGTTGTGAAATGTTTTAGTTACGCATGATATAAGGGAAATAGGTCTTAATTTACCATTATCGTCTCCAGGCTTAGGAATGGCTACAATCTGTACTATCTTCCATTGTTTTGGGACATAACTGGAGCTAAATATAAGATTGAACAATTTTAATAAATAACGCTTGGCAATACTAGGTAAATTAACTAACATCGAGTAAGAGATATTGTCATCTCCAGGAGAACTATTTTTTTGTTTTAAAGTATTGTCCAATTCAGAGTACGTAAATGGAGATTCTAATGCTTCATTTTTTGATCTTAATAATGGTATGTTAGGCGATACAAAGTCGGGAGCCAATGACTCTAATAATTTCTGTTTTCTCTCATCTGATGTACTTTTAGCCCTTCTCAAGCCTTTCATCTATTGCATCTTACGCCACATACCCATTACAGTTGTATTTTCATCGATATCACTACAAAAAGAATGCCAACTCTTAGACTCAACTTTAACTATTAACAGTCGGGCCTCGGTTACTTTTTGCTCTAATATATCTAGATTATGAGGGGTTGGATTTCTTCTAAGATTTTAAGTGCTAACCTCCTCTCAGCAACTATTTTAGATAATGTTTGATTCTAAAAAGGTCTGGGAACAAATTTTCGATCTAAATTATTACAGTACTTTATATATGGTATAGCTTTATCCGCAGCTAAATTTATTTGCTGAATGAACTTATCATACATAATTTGAATATCATTTGTTTCAAAATCAAATTCATTAAATTCTTTTTCTAATATATTTTTGTATTCTATCCAATTAGCATTTTTATAGTTCCTTTTTTTAGTAAACGATAATTTATCTTTATAACGGAGAGTATACTTTAACATTAAATGATCGCTGTCTAAATTTTCATTAATAGTTGTCCAATCTAAATTCATAGCTATATCTGTAGAGCAAAAAGTAATATCTGGTGCTGATTGTTGTAGTGATCCGTTAACAAATTTAACTCTGGTATAGCTTTTATCGTTAATAGATATAAAACCATACTGTAGTGAGCTGTCGAACAATTGATTTCCTCTAGAGTCTATTTTATCAGATCAACTTGTATGTTGTCCATTAAAATCTCCCGCGATTATAGTACACTTGGAAAATAAAGCAAATAAGCTATCCCAATTGGCTTGACTTGTATTAACACTAGAGGGGCAATATACAGAAACTATATTTTTCAACAATTTACAGTTCATAATTTTAACATGCACTAATTCAATACCAATATTATTAACATTAATAGAACTTTTAAAGGTTTTAAGAGACTTATGTGTAACAATTGCTACACCCCCATATGAGTCAACCCTATCATGTCTATAAACGTTATATTGACTAATATTTAAATTTGAGCCTTGCTGTAACCATGTTTCACTTACTATGGCGATATGTATATTTTCTCTATAAAGTAGAGCTTTAAACTCTGTCAGTTTCGGCCTTAAAAGTAAAATATTTACAGAGAAATCCTTTATCCTTATATTATCCATCAAAGAAGGATGACATTTTCTTAATCACTTCACCTACTTTTCTCAACGATGGAAATGAGATACAAATTTCTTCTATCACTAAGTAGAATGCATCACATATCTTTTCTTTAAAGTCTCTCTTCGATATAATAATTTCTTTCAGCTTCCTGTATAAATCTTTAAATTTATTTAAATTGTCTTTCTCTACATCCTGGTTATTGTTCAATTCTTTAGAGGATGCTGACTTTTCGGTGTGTAGATAATTAGTGTCGTCAGTATTTACATTCTGAACTATAATTGAATTCTTTTTTCTATTCCCTTTTTTTTATTACCTAGCGAACTATATGGATTCTTTGAATAACCTTCAGTATCATCATCATTCATTTCTTCTACATCATTTGACATATCTTCGTGCTCCTCAATACTTTGCATTTGTTTTGTTGTAATTAAAACATCTCTATACGATCTAGTCTCTAAGATTTTATTTGTATTAAATAAGACACTTATGCTAATCATTTTGTATTTCTGATGTTTCTGTCAATCCCACTTCCTTACTTGTATGCTGACAGTAAAATTCAAGAGCCTTTTTGTAAGTAAGACTATTCTGACACATTATTTTCCTAATCTTCTTTTCTTTTACAAACATAGGACAATTTTTATCCAGAGCCATGTGGGGTCCTTTGCAATTTAAACAAATAAAATCTTTAGACTCGCAGTTTTCATGGTCTTGTCCACATTTTGGGCATATGATTTTTTTCGTTGGGCAAGATCTACTCAAATGCCCGAACTTCCAACACCCAGAACATTGTGACACTGGAAATGTGTATGGTTCAACCTTAAACCGACACCCGTATCCTAAAATATACAGGAGTAAGGTAGAACTCTTAAAACCCATTCATTTTTATCATTTAGTCTCCGCAACCTTCTCATGCTTACAATTTGAGAATCACAATAAAAATTGTCCAATATTTCCTTTTCTTCCGTCTCTAAGTCTACATCTTTAACAACACCGTAAATAATTCTTCTTCATTGGTCGATTGACATCTGCACTCTAATTCCACCAATTTTTGGCAATTTATTAGTTGGTCAGCATCATTTTTATTACTAAATCTTATAAATGCCTTGTAGGGACCTTTGAATTTAATACTAAGTATGTTATTAATGTTTAATGATTTTATTAACTTAGGCATACCTATTTGTTTAGGTAAGGTCTGTTTGGAAGATAAGCACACTTCATATATTTCATCATTGCTAGACGAACTTCTATGTATGCGTTTACTCCGTCTATGTACCGTAATAAACTCTTCATTTTCATTTTCCGTGTCGTCACTGTTTTGTCTTTGTCTTTTCTCCACAGTGCGGGATTCCGCCATACTTGTTGCCAATACTTCCTTTTCCACTAGTTGCTCACAATTATCACTATTCAACATGGTCTCCTTTTCAACATCACTTGAACGCAATAAAATTATGTTACTTTCGTTAAATTCATCCATTATCGCAATATTCCAACATGGGGGTAGAATTACAAAATAAAACGATAAGATACTATTGACGCCTGAATAGACTGCCAACGAACCGTGCACTAGCGACGGATATCGGCGCGCGAATGGTGTGTAATTTGAAAAAGTTAAAATTAATTAAAAATAATAATTTTAATTTAAAGCTATTATTTAAAAAACAAATTATTAAGCAACACATTACTACATACAATTACAAATGAAAAAGTGAAAAATATTAATCAGAAATGCTATCATTTTGATCTACACAGTAAGAATTTACTACATCTATCTGTCTGTTATGTTTTGATTTATTATTAGATTTTATTATAATAATAACAGGATCCCATGACGATGGTAGTACCCAGCCATCTTCCCTATTGAAATTTGGATGTTTTTTTAATTTCTATGAAAAAATAAAGTCAGACATCCTTAGAGACATCTAACACCTCAGTCTCTCCCGTGACCATGATTGCTGTAAAGCATTTGAAACGTCGGGAACCATAAATCAAAATAAATTCGCGATAAAATCCGAAAAGTTAGTTTTATTTAAAATACTTTAATAATTATCAATATAACAAAAAATCACGTTCTAATGTGTTTTACATTCAAAATATTTACATAAGAGCAAATTCCTGCTACTTTATTTGCAATGGATATAAGACGTATCTTAATAGACGCCTTATCAAGTACAACAAAAATCGCAAAGTAGCTACTATATAATAAGTTTTCCTTAAAACTTATTCATATTCAAAGAAATATGTACGAAATAAGAAAATAAGTATTATAATATTCTTTTTGTCATTTACAAACAAATTCGTTGTTTTTTTTAGCATATTACTATTAAACTAGGATAAAAAAAATTAACACGTAAATTAATAACAAAAAAAACAGACTATCTGAAAGGTATTTTGCAATACTCATGAAAATTAAAAGTGAGATGACATAATATACCTTTTGCTTATAATGGCCTTTTAGTAAGATGTGTGAGTTAACGCCTGTAACCGACAGGCCGTTTACAGCTGTGTATGAGTAGTTGAAGTCCATATGATCTGTGACAATGCATATTCGACCATCACGGAGTGCCGCAACATCTTGTCGCGGTGAATCACAATGTAAATTCGCTGCGATCTTTCCAGTATGATAAGCCAGGAGAACCTATTTTTTTAAATACAAAATTTCTCAATAAATAACCAAAACACTTTAATTATCTTTTTTTATTCGTAAGCTTACTTTGGTAATGGCACATATGCCTGATGCGGCTTCTGTATAACCAATGTTAGACATGACACTTCCCACTTTTAGGGGGTCACTTCTATTTTTGCAAAAAACTTCATCAATCGCTTGTAATTCAGATTTATCAGCTTCAGCAACAGCTGTAAAAAGTATAATTAAATATAAGTGTTATCTATACATATAATAAAACTGTAGTGGTCGAATGTGTGTACATAGAAAAAATGCTAAAAACCGAGTCAGGGGGATGTAAGAAGAGAAATAGAACAAATCCAGATTTTTGTCAATTTTTTTGTTTCTTTATCTGTTTGTACGGGCTAATCTCCGAAACTGTTAGACTGATTGAAAAGAAATTTTCCTTGGTAGTACCTTATATCCCCAGTCAAAATTTTAGATACTTTTCAACCCGTGGGACTGTTCAAAAACTTCAGTAAGTTATACAGCGTAGTACACAAAAACTACACATTGGATTTTTATTAAACTTTCCAATAATATAGTTCATACATCAGAATGACAAATAGAGAACTTTTTATCTCGGAAAAATGTACGGTTCCCGTGGGATAGATTTGTATTTGTTGATCTAGAGGCGAATTCGAGCGACGCGAGGGTGAGCCGCTAGTAATTCAATAATCTTTAAATATTGGATTTATGTTACTAGATTTATGTGCTACTTATACAACTTTTTTACCTGAGCCAACTGCTTCAACATATTCCACGACATCTGGTGAAACGTCAGCTTCTTGATAGAATTTTTTTATAAAATCAGCCGAAATAGTAGGATTTCTGTAGAAACCGTATTTTGGACCACTTTCATCTTCTTCTAGTTGAGTAAACTCACATTTAATATAAGCAACTTCTGCATAAACTCTGAAATATGTGGTAAATTGTTGTTTTTTTACAGTTTTCACTCGTAAACAAATGGATAAAATGATAATTTTCTTTGACAAGGTTAATGAGGATCAGTACAGTTATAGAAAATTCCATAGAACTAGTATCCACGTTATTTAATAAGACATAAGAATGATATATCTTTTTGAATTTTCAAAATCGGACCATAACTTACGAAGATATTAAGTAATAAGCATTACACCGTTCCTGCCGGCAAAATGTACGCGAGTGCGTGTGACGTCACTATGACGGAACGAACGTAGCCGGCCCACCGCCCGGGCCTATTACTTCACAATTCGACGGAGAGCGCGCGACGGCATTAGCTACTATATTTAGTAATTACTTATTTAGTGTTCTTTCAAGTGTGATTGTGATATTTAAATATATTTAGAAAGTATCTACGTCTATACGTATAATAAAATTCTAAGTCGAATCTGTACATTAAATATTTTTTGGAAAATCTTATTGAAATAGACATTATTATCGATGCAGAGGCCGAATCTATAGTTTTTAGAATTTTTGCCTGTCTGTCTGTCTGTTACCGGATCACAGAAAAACTACTGGAGGGAATTTGATGTTAAGTATGGCTGGTTATCCGGGTCAACATATAGGATACTTTTTACAGCGGGAAAATATTTCATTTCTGAGAAAAAATACAAAAACTGGTTAGAATAAAACTACGATGATACTATATATATTTCAGCAAGATAACTTACGTACTAAATAAGGCAAACACTATTAAAAATAGCTTATCTTGAAAAAAAGAATAGCGCTATTTCATTTGGTTTTTCGTCATCTGAACGCGGGCGGAGCCGCGGGCAATGCTAGTAATAAATAAGTTGATACTTACTATTACGTGTAGTGTAAGTGTACCTATGAATTCTTTTATTTCAAAACTGCTTAATTATGAAAAACCTAACTACTTTTTTTATTAGTTTTGTGGATAAACCTACATTCCTACCTATTCTACCGTTCCCATTTTATGTATTATTCCAAGGTCAATGACAAAGGGACATACTCGGGTAAAAAACAAATAGTGAATGATAGTATTTTTGAATAGCTGTGTATGTGTATCTGCCTCAGCTATGCCTTATTGTTAGAAGCAAATAAATTAATATATATATATACATATATATATTTTATATTTCAGTTAAAAGAAGATATGGAAAATTACGTCAGTTTTACATATTAGTATACTTAATACTTTCTTAGATTTACGCGAATACTTGACATTTTAAATAAAACTATCTTTTCGGATTTTATCGCGAATTTATTTTAATTTTTGGTTCCCGACGTTTCGAATGCTTTACAGCAATTATAGTCACGGGAGAGACTAAGGTTTTAGATGTCTCTAAGGTATTATATAGTTGTTACAGACAGCCTACCCACAATTAACAAAATGAATTCACAAAATTGAAAAAGGGCACTAAAGTACCTTACAATATTTTAACTTTTAAATTTAAACATTTTTATATAATTTTATTTAGCTTTATAATTGAATATAGAATATTATTTATTTAATTTGAGCTGTTATTATTATAATTATTACAATTTTAAAAAATATTAATTATTAATTTACATTTTTTGTGTTGCCATTATTATATTTATAACCATAAAGAAAAAAATCATAATATATTAATAAACAATATTTTTTTTTATTTATTAAACAAATGATTAAGCAACACATTACTACATACATTTACAAATGAAAATGTGAAAAATATTATTAATCAGAAATGCTATCATTTTGATCTGCACTGTAAGAACTTACTACATCTACATGTCTGTTATCTTTAGATTTATTCTTAGATTTTATTATATTAATAACAGTATCCCATGACGATGGTAGTACCAAGCCATCTTCCCTATTGAAATTTGGATGTTTTTTAATTTCTATGGCTTCTCGAATCATTCTAGGGCGATATCGGTTTTCTTTCGCCAGGATTTGAGGTCTATCGAAGCGAATATAATGGCTTGGGCGGTCCTGACTATGTTTGCAGACAGCAGATGTTGTATTGCGACGGTGCTTCACATCCGCTATGTGTTCTACCACCTGTCAAGTGCCACATCCCTCTACAAGATGCAGGAGTTTACAAGCTTGATTGTGATTGTGGGCTCTCTTATATCAGACAAACAAAGAGATCCATTAGAACCCGGGTCAAAGAACACATAGCTGATGTGAAGCACCGTCGCAATACAACAACTGCTGTCTGCAAACATAGTCAGGACCGCCCAAGCCATTATATTCGCTTCGATAGACCTCAAATCCTGGCGAAAGAAAACCAATATCGCCCTAGAATGATTCGAGAAGCCATAGAAATTAAAAAAACATCCAAATTTCAATAGGGAAGATGGCTGGGTACTACCATCGTCATGGGATCCTGTTATTAATATAATAAATCTAATAATAAATCTAAACATAACAGACAGGTAGATGTAGTAAGTTCTTACTGTGTAAATCAAAATAATAGCATTTCTGATTAATAATATTTTTCACTTTTTCATTTGTAAATGTATGTAGTAATGTGTTGCTTAATAATTTGTTTTTTTAAATAACAGCAAATTTAAATTTAAATTATTATTTTTAATTAATCTTAACTTTTTCAAATTACACATAGATCAATAATTGTGGCTTAAATAATTAATATATTATGATTTTTTCTTTATGGTTATAAATATAATAATGGCAACACTAAAAATGTAGATAAATAATTAATATTTTTTTTAATTGTAATAATTATAATAATAACAACTCAAATTAAATAAAGAATATTCTATATTCAATTATAAAGCTAATTAAAATTATATAAAAATGTTTAAAGTTAAAAATTAAAATATTATAAGGTACTTTAGTGCCATTTCTCAATTTTTTGAATTCATTTTGTTAATTGTGGGTAGGCTGTCTGTAACAACTATATAATACCTTAGAGACATCTAACACCTCAGTCTCTCCCATGACCATGATTGCTGTAAAGCATTCGAAACGTCGGGAACCAAAAATCAAAATAAGTTCGCGAAAAAATCCGAAAAGATAGTTTTATTTAAAATATTAGTATATTCTTACATTGCAGATTTTGTATTTTTTCTCAGAAGTGAGATGTTTTCCCGCAGTAAAATGTATCCTATATGTTGACCCGGATAACCAGCTATCATAATACCAAATGTCATCAAAATCCGTCCAGTGGTTTTTCCGTGATGCGGTAACAGACAGACAGACGGACGGACAGACAGACAAAAATTCTAAAAACTATAGATTCGGCCTCTGTATCGATAATAATGTCTATTTCAATAAGATTTTCCAAAAAATATTTCATGTACAGATTCGGCTTGGTTACAATTTGATTATATGTATAGATATCTACTCGTACTAAATAATTAGTATAGTTATGTAGTTATGTACATCAAAATGATCTTCACAGCAATGTCTTGTAGCCTGGGCAGAGGGTGGAGTTTTATCATCTCTTTTTACAACGGAAAACCATTTTTTACGAAGTTTTGGGTCCCTCGGTACGTTAAAATATAATTTATTTTTCTGGCGTTTTAAAAGTAGTGTTTGTACATTTCGGCACTATACTATATTTATACATAATTAAAAAGGTAAATTAGACACAAATCGGACACTTGATTCGTTTCAAAGTCATTAAAACACTGCGCGCCTTATTGCTGCCAGCGGCTTACTGGCGGCGTCCGTCATTATGACGTCACAGCTATCGCGGCGGCCACGCGGTGAACTTCGCTAGTAATTTCTTTATAACTTCGTCAATTTTTGTCGTAAAACAAAAAATTTTGCACTGTATGTTAAGGATTTCTTAGCTCTATAAATATGCATTCTCAACTAAAAACGTTACGGATCCTCATTTCTTTATTTTAAAGAATCTCCCTTCGTCTTTTATGTAACTTTCTCCCAATTTATACCAAAATTGGGTTAGCACAATCGCTCTTATTCCCGATTATTGACTATGCTGATATCTGTTATCTTAATATTAAAGAAGATCAATTAACTGAGCGACTCCAAAATTTTTGTATTCGGTTTATATTTGCTTTGCGTGTTTATATACTATATTTTATGACCATACCTCTGAATTTCGTAAAAAACTCAAGTTCCCTATCCGTCTTCGCAGAAATACTCATATTCTTCATATTCTTTACTATATTCTGTTCGATCCGTCCACTCCACAATACCTTAAAGACCGTTTTGAATTCCTTTGCGATTCCCATTCTCGCCATCTGCGTTCTGATCAAACCCTAATCCTGAAAATCCCTTCCCATTCCTTTTCCTTTTATAGCAATTCCTTTAATATTACGGCCGCTCGCCTTTGGAATTCCCTTCCCCGAGATGTTAGGTTTGCAAAAACTCTAAGGAATTTTAAAAAGCGTCTACAAGAACACTTCTACATACTTTAATTCCTTATTGTCTTTACGATTTTATTGTTCTTGTAGTATGTGTATATATAAATAGGAAATGTCCTTGTTAGTATTAAAATATCTCTTGCCGTTGACGTTTGGTTATTATATTTACAAATCTATATCCATCTATTCATATTATTTTATAAACAAAAATTACGTATTTATATTATTTACATAAACCTACCTAATATATTTTTTTGTATATACGTATATATTGTATCACATGTATGTATGTACATATCATTTTATTTATAACTCTGTGTTCACACCCCTTCCACTTCACACTTAACTTTTTCCTACAACTAAAAGTTTTCCTGGAAGAAATCGCTGATTAGCGATAAGGCCGCCTCTGGTACAGTTTCCTGTTATTGTATTGTTTTTGTATTCTTTTTGTGTGTGCAATAGTTTTTATATTGTTATTTTTTTTTTTTTCTAAACATAAACAATTATGCAAAACATGAAAACATACCTTAGTGCATCTTTAGCTTTTTGCAAGAAAAGGACATTGACTGATTCCGATTTAGAACATCCAGCGGGATTACTATCAAATGACTTTGTTTTACCATCCATACTTAGTTTCATGATTCTGAAAAACATTTATTTATAAGAGTATAATATACATATCTATTCAGGGTGGAACAAATCGATGGGACATGGAAGAAAACTATCTTAAATATTGAAGTTATCAAGATTTACCCAAAGGACACTTTTCTTTATATTTAAAAATAATAATAACTGCATTTAATTTTTTTTTAAAACAGCTTACCTGAACCGTGAATCGAACCAAATAAAAATGCAAAAAAGGACACCGTCACTATTTTATCGAATTAATCGATAGGGTCTATGGGAAGGATAAAATCTCTCGACCAAACATTGCGTCTTAGAATTAAAGAAAACGATGAAATCTTACAAATTGTATACATCGACTCTAACATCGTGGAACAAACACACAGGACATAGGAGAAAAGTGTCTTAAGCACTGAAAATATCAAGTTTCAGTATAAAATTCCCATTCCAATTCGGATAAGAGGCTGTATGATAAGTGCCTTCAGATCTTCTTTAAATACAACAAGGAGCCATACCAAATAAAATAAAAAAAAATTTAAAACCGACTTCCAGCCATTAAAATGTAAAAAATAACTAAACCGGGGTTTTCATTTAGAATAGATACCTAACCAGATATTTTCGAAGTCGGTGCCAGCCGACAATATTTTAAGATAGGTAAATATGATTAGGTATGAACTCTAATTATAGTTAAAATATTATACATTTGATTTGATTTTCTTTGCATCGGCGGACACCGACTCCGATAATATCTTATTAGGTATCTATTCTAAATGAAAACCCCCGTTTAGTTATTTTTTACATTTTAGTGCCTGGAAGTCAGTTTTAAATTTTTATTATTATTTTTTATTATTTTTCCAATGTTAGTGTAGACGTAATAAGCGGGTAATTTGTAAGAAGAAAGTTTATTAATAACATATTCGATTAAACAATTTTTGTAAAAAAAAATATTGTTGATTTTTTAAAAACCGATTTCGATAAAATTTATATGGGAACCCCACCTGGGAAGTACCCTTTGAAACAAAAAATATATATTTCCAAATTGGTTCATCGGTTTTTGTCGTAAATTATACATATGTAGTATATAAGTATGCTTCAGCTGTTCTAATTTACTATTTAAAAAAAATATGTTCGTTTTATTATTACCTCCCATAGTGGACAGAGGATTGTGGATGCAAACACAGGCTGCCTGCTCCAACAATTGCGGCATCACATTCTCCTCGAGTAATAGCGAGGTAAGCCTGCTCGAGTGCACAAGTAGAACTGCAGCAAGCCTCATCTATAGCCATAGATGGCCCTTTGGCATTCAGCCAGTACGAGATTCGATTAGCAAACATTGTTTTACAACATCTGTAAAAAAATATTATAAAATGAGACTCCTTACTGTTTATAGTAGAAATAACTTAATAAAAACTATAAAACCCCTAGCTTGTCGCACAGTATCCAATGATCTTTTAGATATACATATACGTTATATTAATGTTCATAAAACTAGCTAAACAGTGTTCCAAATCCAGCGACAGCACACATGCTCACACATTCATTATTTTATTTAAACTATAAGAAAAAACTAAACTATAAGAAAAAAAGACAGCTATTGTCATTCGCTCCAGTTATGACAGGAATATGTTGTCTTTTTCTTTAAATTACGCAATGATGGAGTCTATATTTGTTTACAAAAATTATTAGCCAAATAAAATATAATAATTTCAGCTTACTTGGTTGTGGTATGTGATCCCTCGAATTTTGTTCATTTTACTCGAAAATAACTGAGGCCAATGGAGACTGTAGCCTCCACTTGTGCGCTTCACTTTTAGAGTGCTAGTACCGTTTCTACCTTTTTTTTTATACCACGTCGGTGGCAATCAGGCATGCGGCCCGCCTGATGGTAAGCGGTTAACGCAGCCTATGGATGCCTGCAACACCTTGGGCATCACATGCGCGTTGCCGACCCTTTAAAAACCTATTTACTCCCCATTTGAAGGACCCCATACTGTAGCCCTCTGGGAAAACCTCGGCAGGGAGTTCATTCCACAGCGAGATGGTCCGTGGGAGAAAGTTCCTCTGAAATCGAACTGTACGGGACCATTTGGGCTGCAATGTGTGAGCATGAACTCGCTGTCGATGGCGAGCGGTGCGGTGATAGAAAGTGGCCGTGGGCATCATTTCGAACAATTCTTCGGAACACAACCCATTGTACAAACGATAGAGCACACATAGGGATGCAAAATCTCTTCTTAGACTTAGGGGCTCTATATCGCTTGTGAGTATTGGATCGTCGACAATTCTCACAGCTCTCCTCTGAACCGAGTCAAAAGGCCCAAGCTGGTATGCCGGTGCTCCCGCCCAGAGATGCGAGCAGTAGTCCATATGGGGACGGACTTGCGATTTATATAAAAGCAGTTTTTGTCCCGGGGTGAAGTACCGCTTCGCTCTATTAAGCACACCTAGCTTTTTGGATGCCAGCTTGACCTTGTCTTCCAGGTGACTTCGGAATTGGACGTCGCTGGATATGTCGACACCAAGAATACCAATACTGTTGGAGATGGTTAGGGGTGTGTCCTGGAATTGAGGGGCCACAGTAAATGGGGTTTTCTTAGCGGTGAACGCACAAACTTGTGTCTTGGAGGGGTTAAATTGGACTAAATTGTCCCGACCCCAATCGGAGACTCTGGAAAGAATACTCTCGATTTGAGACACAAGTTGTTCGCGACTTTCTACCACAGCGGAGCGAGGGATGTTTGCACGGCCTGTGTAGAAAGCGTCTCCAGTGCTGTCATCGGCATAGCAATGAATGCCATCAATAGACAGCAAGTCATTGATATGCAGAAGGAAAAGCGTCGGAGACAGCACAGAACCTTGCGGGACGCCAGCGTTTATATCTAGTTTTTCCGAGCAGCAGCCATCAACGACGACTCTGATGGATCGACCAGATAAAAAGCTGGCAACCCATTTGCACAAACCCTCGGGTAGTCCGTACGATGGCAACTTCGAGAGAAGACCCCGGTGCCAGACCTGATCGAACGCCTTTGCTATATCTAGGCTAACTGCCAACGCCTCACCTTGACTCTCGATGGCTGAAGCCCACCGGTGTGTCAGATATACTAGAAGGTCACCAGTCGAGCGACCGTGGCGAAAGCCGTATTGCCGGTCGCTGATCAAATCGTGTTCCTCTAGATATCTGAGGAGCTTGGTATTAATAACACGCTCCATAACCTTGGAGAGAAGAGAGGTAATAGCGATAGGCCTGTAATTCGATGGGTCTGATCTATCGCCCTTTTTGGGCACCGGGTGCACATGGGCGGTCTTCCACGAAGACGGTACTTGCCTAGATTGGTAGGAAAGTGCGAAAAGTCGCGTTAGTACAGGGCACAACTCAGGAGCACACTGTTTGAGTACCACTGCTGGTATGCCGTCGGGCCCACTCGACTTATGAACATCAAGACTTAACAGCTCCCGCCGGACATCTCTTTGTGAGAAATTTATTTCCGGCATGGAGTGTCCACACCGTGGGATGGTTGGCGGTGCGGCGCTTTCATTGACCTTCAAAGTCGAGTTTGTAGCAAAGAGTGTACCTAGTAGATCGGCTTTCTCTTTGGCGCTATGGGCCAGGTTGCCATCGGCATTTTGCAGTGGTGGTAAGGACGACAGACAAAAGTTCCCCTCGGCAGCTTTGGCGAGCGACCAGAAGGCTCGACTCCCGGAAGGGTAACTAGCCAGCTTTTCGCCAATTCTCCCGATGAACTCGAATAAAGCTCTGACAATTGTTTTTTTACTGGACCTCGAGACGGCATTTAGTTTGCGTTTCACATCAGAAAGATTTGGATCGCTATTACTCCGAGCCGTGATCCAAGCCCTGAACGCAGTTTGCTTAAGGTATCTCGCTTTCTTACAAGGCCGATTAAACCACGGTCGTTTCTTTTTCCCGGCAGTAACTAGCGAGTTTGGAATGAAACATTCCATACCGGCCAATATTGTCTCGGAGACAGCAGCTGCGCAGATGTCGGGATCTTCTGATCTTCTGATTCATCCCAATCTGCTGACTTATACTGCCACATGCGCCGCAAGCTAGTTGGCCGAGGTGGATCTGGGCGCGCGCATGGTGCAAGAGTCCGGATAAGGCAGTGGTCGGACGAGCCAAGTGGTGCATCTACTGAGATGGAATATCCATCCGGACGTTGAGTCAGCAGAAGGTCCAGTATTGAGCTCGTATGGTCCTCAATATCTGGTATTCTTTTTGGAGAATGCACCAGTTGTGAGTAACCATAGGCCAGAGCAAATTCGTGAGCACACCTCTCCGCGTAGTCAGTGGACCGAGAACTGAGCCATTCAGTGTGGTGGGCGTTAAAGTCTTCTAAAATCACCAACTCCGTAGAGGGGTATTGCTCAAGAACTTTGTCCGTCGTCAATTGCAGGTGCTCGAAGAGTCTTTTTGTTTCCCTGTCACCGCTATGAGACCTGTATAGGCACGCATAAATACGGGTGTGGCCACCGTAGTCCACGCGCACCCACACCACAATATCGAGAGGTCCCTGTCTTCTAAATGAAGGAGACGGCGACAGCAGATATCCTCCCGAACGAACATGCATACACCCGCACGTCTTAGAAACTTATGTTCTAGTTTGTAGCCGGGATACTGCAGGTATGATGTGTCGGCCGGGCAAGATATTTGCGTCTCCATGAGGAATAGTAAGGTCGGCTGCGCAGTCTCCAGATGGTGATGGACTGCGCTGAGGTTTGCATGGAGCCCCCTGATGTTGCAGAAGTCCACATGTGTGGAGATGGGAGCCGCTGTGTAACACTTACTCTTTTTCCTTTTGTTCTTCATTCTTGGTGGGGGTGGTTTATAGGTTGTTGTGAGGATTTGTTGTGTTGATAGCTAAAGGGGCAAATTTGCAATGCAGACCAGCCACAGGCTAGCATAGGTAGTACGGGTTGTCAGCGCAGCGTACGAGAGGGCCCCCAGTCCCCCCCCCCCACTGCAACAGCCGGGTCCACCCCGGTCTCCTCCTCCAGCATGACTGCTACAGCAGGGATTTTTCGCGGGTTGGCAGTTCAGCCTCCCAGGGCGGAGATTAGGTAATCCCTGCGTTCGGGAACTCTACTGACCCGCGGGCGGCCAGCGACGAACCGTTTCACTGGGTCTCACTGACCGCTTCGCCCACACATCGCGCCTACACCGGCCGGTGACTGTGCCGTTCGCATCACCGGCCCCTCTCTATCAACACAATAAATCCTCTGGAGCTCTGGATACCTTACTCACCGCAGGAACACAACACCGTCATAGAGCAGTGTTATTTGGCTGCGATTTTCTGTAAGGCGGAGGTACTTGCCAGTCGGGCTGCTCCAATTCGAGTAGGGTATATACCCCACTGTGCCCTACCTCCATCTACCTTTTTTTATTGTATCATTGACAAACAATTTCGTGAAAGATAGTAAAATTTTATAGCGAAAATATTAATTTAAAATGTATTTGTTCTTTAGCCGGAATAAAATCTTCAAAATGATGTCACAGTCATAAATTTTTATAAAGTAACTTTAAAACATTAAATTTTTATAACTTCCGATTCTTAACAAAATTCACGGCATTACCCGCTGGGCTAATCTCAAGATTACATGAAAATTTCATAAAAACCGCTTCAGCGGTTTTGGAGTTCATAGGAAACATACACAAATCGATTTTTATTTTATTTAATCTACAATTTAAATTTATTCATTGCTCGAAAAATGAAGTCTTTTATAAAAATTTAGTAACACGCCGACTGCAGCGCCACCTACCGGATACATTTGTGAATTTAAACCTTGCAGGGACCCACTCGAACGTACACAAAAAATATCATTAAAATCATCCCTGCCGTTTAAAAGATGATCAGTGGCACACCGACTGCTGCGCCATCTACTGGGCCCGTTTGTGTTTTCAAACCATCCAGGAGCCCATAGAAATATACATACAATTTTATTCAAATCGGTTCAGTCCTTTAGGAGGAGCAGGTTAACAAACACACGTACAGATATTAAGATTAAAGGAGATATGTGACCTTCTTTATGAAACAGGTATAACTTTGCATTTATAATATAACTATCAAACAACTAATATAAACAGTAATATATGTATAAGTTTGTGTATTTGTCTGCTTGTTTGTTCCTTCTTCACGATGAAATGGTTAGACGAATTTGGATTCTGGTTTTACACATTGACACACCCGAGCTAACCTAAGAGTAAAAATCTACATACAACAACAAGAAAGACTGCTAGTGAAAATTATTAAATGGTCGGCGTTTATAGCCACACCTACCCTGCAATACCAAGACCTGTTCTAGAATTTTCGTTGTAAAA